TTCTTCAACGTCTTCAACGCCGAGACAAGCTCGCCGACGAAGGAAGTCGAGGCCATCTCGGAGTCTTCGTCTTGAGCTTCCTTCGTTAACGGCTTCTCCTTCACGGTGGTGACGGCGGTTACGGTGACGATGAACATGAGGATAATGCTGATTAGGAAGCAGGATTTGAGATTCGCGCAGTTGATGTCGCAGGCTTTTGTTTTGGTGAAGGGGAAGATTTTGTAGAATTTTGGGTAGAAACCGGCGAGGTAGCCGCGAACGTTTCCGACGGCCATGAAGAAAGAGAACCACCCGTTGGCCGTCCGCATCATTTTGTGGTTATTTGCGGAGAGGTCAGCGAGGAGGGCCCGACATGGACCTTGGAGCATGTTGTTGGCGACATCTAGAACCCAAAAGCCCACCACGAAAATGGCCACTGCTCTGGGCTTTAAGGACTTTTCCAACGAGTCACCCGCGAGATGGCCAATGTCTATGGCAAAGCCGATGAGGAACACCGCGGAAATGAAAGACACGGCGCCGATAATGATGAAAGGACGGCGGCGGCCGAAGCGTGAGGTGCAGCGGTCACTGTAGTAGCCTACAATGGGTTGCACGACGAGGCCGGAGAAGGGCCCACAGAGCCAGATGAAAAAAGCCCATGCGTAGGGAACCCCAAGGGTCTGTACGTAAGGGGTCAAAAGAGAAAGTTGCAGAGCCCATCCAAACTCAACACCGGAGGCTATGGCGGCAACAGTGATAATCTTCTTAATGGGGCTCTGAGATTCAGCAGCAACAGCGGCGGTACCTCCGTTCTCCATATTGCTGTGGCACTCACACTCTACCTGGACAAAGCAATGGTTTGCATTATAAATGTTATCCTTTAATTTGCTTTCGATTATTGTTCTTTATTTCCTTTCTTCGTTCAATCATGAAGACTGTTAGTCATTTTAAAAGGAAAAGTCCTTTGTATGCAAAAATTTCTTCTTTTTTTTTTTAATTAGGCAAGTGAGTCAGGAAAAAAGGAAAAAAGGAATGGAGAGAGAGATCGAAACCTTTACCATGTTAAAAAAAACTTATTAGGTCAGACCAGCAAGCCTTCTTTTGGAAAAAATTCCATTTAATAAAACTAAATTAAATGATATGAAATTCTTAATCTTGTTTGAAGCTATATATGCACAATTAATTATCATAAAACAAACTCTTACTTTTTCGTTTTCTTTTTTCAAAATTAATCATTCAGTAATAGAGTAAACACCAATCATCATCATATTATAATTTAGAAATTGCGAGGAAGATGAACTTTCTGATAATCTCCAAACTTTAATCTTTTATGAAGAAACGAAACAATCTTTGATAATAATATCCATGGAAGATTGAAAGAATGTAAGTAAGGTAGCTTTGGATAGCATTGTTCATAGGACGGGGAGAGGCATATATAAATTATGACTTACCAGCTATCGTTGAAAGAGCTGACAGCAGCTTTAGTCTTCGCAAAGTCTTGTTCTTGTTCTGCA